CCCATTACATTTTGTACGATGTGGTGAGGCTCTGTACAGAAATAAAATTACATAATTGACTAATACTGAAATGAATAATTGTAGACAGATTTCGACATGAAATTGTGTCACTTTTATGTGCGCTAACACATGTGAAGAGCGAAAAAGCTCATGAGTAGCATTCTACCTTAAAATGCTTGGACAATAATGCTAAGATACATACAGTCTTGTCTTTTTTGTGTACAACATTTTGCCGTAATGGATCAAGGGTGTGGGTGTGTTTGTGGGTGGGGAATGGCCTAGGACCCCTTCTCTAAAATGGTAAAATAGTTCAAAAATGTTATGTGAAATAACTTGCCAACGTAACACAAAGTAAACCAATTGAATTTAAAACCGAGAATCTAAAAATGTATGTAACAGAGCTCAACAACATTTTTTGAATATTATAAATAAATATATCATTTATTGTTGTTTTCGAACCCCCTATTCAAAAGTGCTGGCTACAGGCCTGACTAATATAAAATTTTGCCAATATTTTCCTGAGAAATATTTCCAATAAGTAGCTTTCCATTTTGAATATTGTTTTAAAAATTTGTAAGTTCTCATCTGTTAATTTTGTTTTTACTATTTTTGAGAGAATACTGTTGAAGAATACTGTTTATGCCTTCCTTTACTTTATTTAATTAAGTTTGCATGACCTAAAAATATCCAATTTGAATTATTTTCAATTGTTTTTTTTTGTTTTTTTTTGCATAACTTTACTGTCACCTAATATAAAACTAGTTACCGGTACAATCACATTACTATTATACATGTACATTGTTGTGTATGACTTAGCCCTGTGTACATGTCTGTTGTTCCGGCCGTTACGCCACCCGACACACAGTGTACCAACATTCGGCCCCGCATGATCAGCGGAAGAAGGTCAACCTACAGGACTGTACTCAGGGCTATATGACTATGACCTATGTGTCAGCCCCTAGCTCCAATACCGAAGCTCCAGATTTCGACTGACTTTATCATACTTTTATTTTGTTCTTGTTGGCGTTTATTTTTGCGTTCTTTCATGACGGCAAGCCATCGGCAGGTGAGTAAAATACGGTTGGACATGGGGCTATGAACAACAGTTGGACAGCCCCATACGTAGTACAGTATAATAAATTGGTGATATGAGTTAATCAAATCGTTTTTGAACTAAGAGATGTTGATATTATCATTTTATAACTGAGTATAGTATTGGCATAGTATTAATAACACTTAAACGGCATGCTGGGGGTATATACCTCAAGCTAAGCCAGTAAACGACGTCCGTAAGAGTAGATGGCAGCGATCAGCATGCAGCGGCGACCTTGAGTGGCTGTCAGGCAACTTCGAAACTTTCCGGTTACTTTCCTGCAATATTCCTGAATGACTATATCCTTTTCCGCAATATCAAACAAGATCAAATACATCCAAGATTCACGAACAATGTACAGAACATCAGCGACAATACAGAGTACACGCGTTATGTATCATAAATCCCAGTCGATCGATGAAGTGACGACAAGTAAATTTCCAATGACCGGTTACGTACTTCTCGTTGCTGGCGCTGTGTGACCAACATGACAGAGGTCAAACTAAAGTAGACCGCCTATCTTGATGAAAATATGTCCACAGTATAATCGTTGATGTATTTCAAAGAAACAGTCAAATCTCTTAGGCAAGTATCAGTTGGAAATGTTTACTATTTTATTTGAATTTGGAAGGATTACAATAGTCCATAAGAAAACAATTCATGATAAGTTGTGTAAATATTATTCAGTTAGGGTGTATGACCATGTTAACTACAGAGGGCGTATGTAATCACAATAGCTCTCTGAGTGCAAGTACGGAGACGTCTATCGTCTTTGTGATTGTTTGAATGCAAGTCGTCAAACTATAGTGTAGAATATTTAACCGGTAAGTCAAACTATTATATAAATGCGTTATGGCCATCCAGTTTACGTCTAGTTAACTTCATGCTACAGAAATTATCCGGTGAGTTGTGTTAATATACTGTCCTATGGATTATACATTGTAATGCTCCAGTCAATGTCAACCCCCACCCTCCCCACCTCAGGGTTTAGTGGGGGATTTGCAAATTATTGTTGTAAAATTTGCGAAATGCCCCACCTCCTGGGGCAAGATGGATAGGCAAATCCCCACCCAAAACAAACCCCCCACATTTCTCTCACCGATCGCCACTGTCCGCCATGCTTGCTATCAGCAGAGTACTGGCGATGCTGTCGATGACGGGACACGAAGCACAGCTATTACCCCCACCTCCACGGGCACAGTTTGGCGGTAAACCCTGTCTAATGCCCCACATTTGTCCCGTATCGCCCGAGGTGGGAGGGGTCGGGGTTTACATTGACTGGAGCATAAATCTGTTATACCACAGTGACACTGCAAAACGTGTTATTAAATTATAAAGCTAGTAGCTTACTCATATATGGAAATACCCGAATTTATTAATTTTGCAATAAATTGTGTCACTGGGCAATATAATGATATTGACTTTAAAAAAGTTGGGGGTCACAAGCCTAATTTTAGAGAAAACGATAGTTGTATTTTAGTGGATATACCGGTAATGAATATTTTGTCAGTATTGTAATGCTTACCATAGGTTCCTATGGCAGAGATGGTAGGCTGGTGACATAGGCTGAAAACAAATTTATATTGTGAATGATGGGGTACTGTTTGTTGTCCTAAATTATTTAAAATGTATCGAACAAATTTTTCTTTCAAATAAAATTGTGTTCTATGGATTTGTTCTAAAAATAGCGATTTTTGAAGAAAAAAAAGTTAAATAATATTGCTATTTCATGGTGCCATGGGACAATACCTCCATGATTTCACATAATAGTCATATTTGTCCTGCTAATGGGGTGGTGCAATGTTTTAACGATTTTTTCTGTATTTTTCAATAATTTTGCACCAAATAGACATAGTATTCAGTTTCTGCAGGCCGAGCATATAGGTCTTAATAATAACACATTTGAAAAATATGAAAAAATTTGTGCATGTTTTGTATTTATATTATGAAAGGTGGCAAAAGATGACTTTAGCACGCAAAGGTTTACTGTAGAATACTTTATTTTCGCTTGGAATTTATTTTCGCTATTTTTGCTGAAAGGATGATTCCATGAAAATAAAATCCAGCAAATATACGTTTTTCCCTATATTTCACATTCAACTGGTCAAAAATCAGTGAAAATAAATTCCATACAAAACACCCAAAATGCCTTTTCAACGAAAATTAATTCCAGCTAAAATAAAGTATTTCACAGTAATAGTTTTCAGAAAACCTTCTAACTTTTCCATACCTTGATCAGTATGAATTATATGGCTGACTACATGTACATGCTGGTTGGTACAATCACCATATGTCTCTACTTTACGTAACTTGATTATTTTTCTAACATTTTTCCAGATACAGTGAAAGCTGCACTTCAAGAATATCTTCTACAATAGTAATAATCAGGAACATTATCTAAACATAACTCAATTGTTTATCTGTTTTCCATAGTCTACATCTACCTGAATAGGTGTATCATCAGTATGGCTCTAGAAACATCATATTGTCCGAACAATAACAGTCTGTCTGATGTATGGAAGCAGAAAGGCATCACTCACTGTTTCTTTGATACATTATTTGCATCTCTGTTGCTGGGGTTTGTCTTGATAGCAGGAGGAATTCAGTTGATTGTCAATAGGAAGTATTTCATTGTCCCCAACACAGAGTGCATACCTAGACCTTGGCTGTACATCTTACAAATACTGCTGATCATTACAATCGCTGTGCAGTATTTGCTGCGAATTGTACTCTTGCAAACTGTTATCAAGGATCCTATTTATCTGTTCATGATTGTTACTACAGTATTCTACATAGTGGCTTGGCTATTTACGCTGGTGATCCTACGAATGGAACGTAGACGTCCGTTGGTCGATTCTAGGGCATCTGGACATGGCATTGTGTTGTTACTATTTTGGGTATTGGCATTTATCGGTGACTGTTTAGCTTTCGTATCCTGGTCCAGTCCATTATGGTGGTGGGATTTGTCCAGTCCTTTACATAAGATGCAGTTCAGTATGTGGGTGGTTAGATTTGTGTGTACCGTAGGAGTGTTTGTACTGGGTATCAAAGCACCTGGATTGCCCAAACGAAGCTATCTGCTGCTGGTGAATGAAGAGAGAGGTCCTGACCAGGATAAAGTGAGTAGCCGCACACCACACACCACATGCCGTATACAGTTGTGTACTACCCTATTTGTGACAGTGTTTAAGTGAATATGCAGATTGTTATGTATTTTTTTTATAATTTCCAATTACCTGTTGATCTTGTTCACAATTTTTGTAAACGTATATGATACAAATTTTCTAGGTGTAATTTGTGGTAGGTAACAATGTCACATGTTACAATATAATATTATTTATTTCGACCATTGGTTCATATAAAATTTAACAAAGGAAGAAAAAAAGTTTCAAATAGCTGCTTGTTAAACTTTAGCGAAAATAATATTTAATAGTAAATTGTACAGAAATTTCTCTGAATGTGAAAATAATGCAGATTCTATCTCACATCACTGTTCAATAAGCCCTGTAGAATATACACATTGTCACCCTATGATGTCACACAAACTTATTATTGCAATGACTTATCAGATGCATAGTATGAAGAAAGTTATCTACTGTGAAATACTTTATTTTAGCTGGAATTTATTTTCACTGATTTTTGACAAGTTTAATGTAAAATATAGGAAAAAAGGGTATATTCGCTAGATTTTATTTTCAGTGAATCATTCCTTCAGTGAAAAGGGCGAAAATGAATTCCAAGCGAAAATAAAGTATTCTACAGTATTCCTATTGCTCTATCACATAGAAATGTTGTATATGAAATGAATTATATAATGTACTTTCATTTTTGACAGCCCTTACTAGAAGACCATGAAGGGCCTAAGAGACAAGTAGAATTTCAATCAGTGGTGGAACAAGAAGGAACAGCATGGAAAGGCTTTGCTAATAAGACTAGATTGATGTGGCCATTTTTATGGCCTAAAGGACATCCAATGCTACAATTGTTTGTTATACTGTGCTTTCTAATACTAGCTGCTAATAGAGGAATAAACGTATTGGTGCCAATCTATTACAAGGAAATCGGTTAGTAAACAGACAAAAATAAATGGACAGACAGACATACGTGATACTGCATGTTATGATGAAAAAATTGAATATTAGTGAAAATATTTAATTGTTGACATTAAATACTTAATTATGTATGCTTACCCATATTTGATTTGCATAAAAACCAGAGATTTTGCAAATTATTTCTCCAAAGGTATGATTCAATGAAATATATATTTGGTAACCTAAGTGTGTGCTGAAAATATTTTATGCGAACATAATGAAAATGCTTTTTATGCATGATTCTGATTGACTGATTGGAAATACCATATTGCACAGTTACAGTACCTTTTTAAACAAAGGATTGTGAATGTTTTCAATTCAGGTTCTTTTTTTAAAAATAGCAAATCAGGCACAAATGCAAAATAAAATTTGAATATGCCACTAAAACTAAAAATGTTTTTTTTTTCTCTCTTGTTTCAGTTGATCAGCTTACATACAATCCTAAAGACACACTGGAGCAGACTCTGGGTGTTGATAATACCACTGCACCACCAACACAAAACCCTGGTATGGTCCTCACATATCCCTGGCAGGATATTCTTATCTATGTTTTCCTTAAATTCTTACAAGGAGGCCTAGGCGTAGGTACGTGAACATCATTATTTTCTTGTATTTGTCTATAACTTGTTTATTAAATTTGAACCAAATTTTTTTTTTGGCTACAGGTTTTTCCCTAGAATATTATCGAATCCTGTAGTATATCATTTTGAACAAAAATTTATAAGATAAGGCTCTGCAATAAATATATTCAATTCTGTATGCGTGTATTTCTAACCAATAGCATAAAATAATGCGCTCGTTTCATCGCATAACTAGGAATGAGCGTGATAATCCTTGCAAGATTATTCAACAATGCAAAACGCATGTATGGACAAAATTACTCAAAATGAGCAATAACCAGCTCTTCACTCATTTTAAGTATTTTTAGAAATCTATTTTTGTCATGCGATTTTGTGATCATCTGGCAGTTTTATCTTCAAGTTATAAATCTTTGTTTTCGATAAATAATAGAGCTCAATTATCATGACATCAATTGTTATTCAAATTCAGTCACTACTAGGCTTATTTTCTGGTGGGAAACTATCCGTAATTTTGATAAAAATGTTTAAGAAATATAGAAAACAATCAGTGTTTATTTGTCCTAACTCATAAAAAGGAGTAAATTGTGATAAATTATCTAAATATTCATTTAAGTGACATTCACTGCACCATGTTCAATATGGGTCCCATGATACATATTTACATAAAATTTGACAAGACCTACTTGCGGCTTGTGTCAATGAAGATGACCAAGTAAAGAAAGATAGATACATTTATGTACCAAATGTGAATTCAAGATCCCAAGATTTTTTAAAGCAGCATTGGCACTTGTGTAAATTTAAAATATTCTCTTTATTTCTACCAAACAGGGAGTATAGGATTATTGAACAATGTGAGAACTTTTTTATGGATCAAAGTACAACAGTACACAGCTAGAACAGTTCAAATCAAATTATTCTCACATTTACATGGGTAAGTTATTCTTATTTTACATGAAGACAATTCTTTTTTATATGTTGATACAAAGGATTTATTTTAACCACAATCCCTGATAAAAACAATCTGTCAAAATTATCAACCTTTGAACCCTAGGGTTGACTTTTGTCACTATTCATAATTTTAAATCTGCATATTTTTTTTTTTAAATTCTGACTTATAGCTAATGGGAGGTTAGGAATTTTAAGGAAGTTACATTTAAAATTTGCAGAATGTTGCATAGAGAATTTTGGCGAAAAACATTGCAGCATTCAATTACTTACCTAATTTGCATAATAATTAGCTAAGATATTTTATGTGCCACTCTGCAGATTTCAATGAAACTTGGTGCATAAGTGCTCAGAAATTATCCACAGACCAGATTAGTTTTGTTATAAAATTCAAGCGTATTTATTCATCTAATTTGCATAAATTAGGGAAATTTCTGATATTTCAAGATTCACTTTAAATTAGTGCATATGTTGACATGCTCTTGTTTAAAAATAATCTTAAATTTATAATTACTTTTAAATATTCCTTTTTTCTGCTTCATATATCAGATATTCTCAGCACACACTATACTTAATATCCATAATTTCAAATTTGTTTTATTTTGTTTCTAGGTTATCATTGAGGTGGCATCTTGGCAGAAAAACTGGTGAAGTATTGAGACTAATGGACAGAGGAACGCAAAGCATTAATAATTTATTAAGGTGAGGAATGTGAAGAAAGATTATTTTATATATTATCCTTTATTATCATTGAGAAACACAATTGATTTACACCTTTACATGGAAATGTTTTATTTAATGTGATTTTACACTTTTTACATCTTTTTTTGCACATTTTTTTAGTAATTTCTTCAATATTTCTGAAAATGAGCCCTAATTTTGGAGCCAACAGGCAAAATTTGTGTCAATTTTCAATTTTTGCTCAAAAATTTATTTGATGTGATTTTGTGTAAATTTTCAATTTTTACTCAAAAAATTTGGCAATTTTTGTTCCAATCTCTGAAGGATAGTGCAGACTATAAGCAGCACTATTTTTTGTGAATTTGTGATGAAAAGAAATAACTGGTGGTGAAAAGCTTAACTCTAGTATTTATGACACGAGATCTCATATACGTTAAAGCTTATTTAGTCGGTAAATTAAAGCCCATGTCTTTCAATTCCAATCTTAACTTAGCATTGGTCCA